GAGAGAGAAGAGTTGCGACGATTGTTGTATGGATTCGGTGTTGGTTCGGATGACCGGGAACGCGGGACCTTGCCCGTGTTCATCACGTACCTCCGATCGTCTCATCTCGCTGCCGACCTTCCCCATCGCAGATGACGACAGCGTCTATTGCGATGCGGACGTACGGCGCGCGCTGAGGCGGACGGAGCAAGTGTGTTGGCAAGACCCGCCTCGGGCTTGTGAGATAAGGGGGAACGGGTTTGTTTTGATTGATCTTTTTGATTCCCCAACTCTAATACTGCCTTATACGGGTTTGACGGTGTTGCCCTGGTCGGCCGCTCACGCCGCGTGGTGGCCGCAGTTTGATTGTCGCTGGTGTCGCCAGGGGGACTCGTGTTCTTGGCGACGCCTGGTCCTGGGTTACGAGGGAGCGACACGTTTCCCCGAGCTTTCCCATAGCGCGGGGGCGCTGCCCGGGCAATTTCGAATTCAGATGTCGGCGAGTCCTCCCGCCGCCATACCCTCCCGGAAATTTTCGCGCGGACTCTGTGAGTCCGACGCCGAGGCTTGAAGGCCTCGAACCAACCACCTCCATGGACAAGACCCAAGGGTTCGGCCACTTTGTGAGGCCGATGATGAGGCCTGAAGGCTTCGAACCCACCACCTATCCCCCAAACCCCTGACAACCGAAGTTTTGTTTTGATGCCCTTTTCCGTCCCGATGCATGACGAYAGTTCATTTTCACGGAAACCTTTTTGATTTTATCGTTTCGGAGTGATCCGACCCTCACGGGACTCCGCGACGACAGTTCGACTCCGGGGAAAACCTCTGGCTCGAAACGAGGGCCTCTCAACCCTTACGGCCAAAAATCCTCGGCCACGCCCCTCCTAAAACTCTGATCGGCGACCCCGTACGGGAAGCCGCGAGGGGGCGTGAGGTTGGTATCAGAGCTGATTCGTTTCGGCTCCGAGGTTTTCCTAGGACGATTACCCTGTTTTAAAGTTTCTCCTTTTTTCTTTTTGATCTTTTCATTAGATTTTTCGCATTTTTGAGTAGGCTGGCTCCCCGTCGACGGAGGCCCGCGAATAGTAATCAAAACCGAGCGAGAGGCCGGGCTCGAAACCCGCCTCCCGCGATGGTGGAATCCGGAATTGGGGGTGAAAACGACGGCGACAACCACGCGGGGATGGCCAATTATCCCCTGTACTTTGTACCTCCTCCTTCCGAAGTTCCCATTTTCTCCGAAGACGACACCGACCCTCGCACCTGGCTAGCTGCCTTGAAAGTAGAGGGCTGGTCGGATTAGTTGCTCCGAGAACGAATTCCCGGAAGGTCAGCCGGAACCGCGTTTGAGTGGTATGGACATAACCTCTTCACCAACTGGGCAGCATTCTGGAGGAAATTCCTCGATAGGTTTGATCACATCGCACCAGGTCAATGCCTCCGTTTAATAAAGGAATACACGCAACAGCCTCGGGAGACCTTGGCCAGATATGCTGAACGTTTTACGTACTTAGCCGAACGCTCCAGGGTGGACGAGAAAATGGTATGGACTGATTTCGTCAGAGGACTGTCAGATTCTCGTCTGAGGAAAAAGATCCGCAAGAAATGCAACCCTATAGAACATACCCTGATGGAGCTAAATCAGTACGCAATTAAGTACGGGAAATAAAATTACGATGTGGGTCTGGACTCAGAATCCGACGAAGATGACCCTTCGGGTGCTCGACGCAATAGCTACTCCACTACGGCACGAATGTTCGAAGATCGCTTCGGGTTGGGTCCGGCAAAAAAAGGAGTGGGTCGGAAAGCGTCTTCCTCTGCTTCGGCCTCCCGTCGCCCTAGTCAAGCACAAGGAGGCCGGGGTGAGGAAGAAGTGTCCATGAAGGAGGTCGCGGCCCAATTAGTTACGGTAGTGGCCCCGTTGACGGAGTTTGTTCAGGGCCTGCAGCGACAACGCCTAGCCGCCGCACAACGGCAACAAGTGGCTATGGCCGCCGGGGCCCCTATGATAAGACCGTCCGTGGCCGGGGCTGTCTAGTCCCTACGCTGTTATAACTGCAATCAGCCAGGTCACCTTGCGAAAGATTGCCCGAAACCTCGAGCTCAGGGTGGGCCCGCTGGGCCTTCCCAAATCCCGCTGGCTGCTCCAACCGCTGCAGGACAGGGGAGGGTGGCCACGGTGATGGATACCGAGGCAACGGAAATGGTGACCCCTGCGGCCACCGAGATAGGGCCCGATGAATACATGGCTGCGGCTTTGTTCGAACGCGGGACCATCGGAGTGATACGTCATGTTCAACGAATTACTGAGGAAAGCGACCTCAGGCCGTGGCGACCAGGGTTCGAAGACCTTGCGACGCCTGGCCCTGAATACAAGGACGGCCATATCGACGTATTGGATGCCTTGAAGACTCTGGATCTTCGGATCCCCGTCCCTATTCCTTATCTGCTAACCATTTTCGAAGCGGCTAACGAAAAAGTGATCGAACGGTGCCTCAAAAACAGGCGCCGATTCAAGGAAAGTCGGAAGGGCAAAAAGCCGGTCCTACGAGACCTACCCACAAACGAGGAGTCACAGCCCTCGACCTCAAAGGTGCACGAAGCCGACCGGATAGGAATGATCCAGATCGTAGACTCTACCTCGGAAAAACCCGAGGTATTCCTCCGAGCCTATCCTATAACCTGGAAAACCGTTAAGTGTGACTGCGAGGTCTGGGGAAACCCCTCGGCCGCCATCCTAGACTCGGGATCGTCAGCGGTCGCCATTTCTTGGAGATTGACGAAACATTTGGGAAGGGAAGGACAGGTTCAGCCCCTCCGACCGGATGAGCTGTATATATCCGCTATGGAAGACAGTATTCATTGTAAAGAGCGAATAACGAACGTGCCTATACGGGTGGGGCGGGTGCATTGTTTGTGTGACGTGATCGTGCTGGATGTACATGCGTATGATGTTCTGCTAGGCATTCCGTGGCAGGCGGCGGTCGGAGCGCGAATGCACTTTGACAGTTGTAAGGTGGTGCTCACATCGGCCCACCCCAAACCCCAAATGATACCAATGAGACTGGTGGTGCGCATGCGTACCCAACCGGCGCCTCGCCTCACCACGAAAGCCCATCAAATCAACATGATCTGACACCTGTCACCAGACGAAAATGAACCCTCGACGGAAATTGACAAGACTGATGTACCCGACCGATATCCGATCCGAGTTCAGGATCGGTGACGCCATTCTTGGCGGCGAGAACCACTGGAAATAGTTCGGAGCGAGTCCAATTGGTCGCACACGTTCTCCTCCGTGGTGCAGGGGGAACCCCTGCTGAGGGTTTCCCGAATAGCTGACCTTTCGGAACCCCCGACGTCCTTGTATCTCAGGACGGACCTCCTACCTGAAAGATTTACCGAGCTGAGGGGGCTGTGCGATTTATCTTTTCAACCCTCACGGCCCCTACTCACGAATGAAAAAGCCGCGATGCTCCTCAAAGAGGGGGTGTCGTTTCAACCCCGAACAAGGGAGTATCGGTGGGGACCGAGGGAAATAGCGCAGGCCTTTTCGGTCGAACCCTCGGCCGAACCGGAACTGGATAGTGACAGTGACATGGAAAGTGAGCCGATGAGTCCGGCGGACAGTCAACTCATTGCGACTGTCCTTTCGGTGAAAACCGACAACTCCTTGTTTAGGGCCTCGCCCGATGCCAGCGCGGCGGTCCCCACGGTTACGACGACGGTCTCCCTTCCTGGGGGAACCGTGGAAGTTCAGTTACCAACCCGTGTTCCGGATGAATACAGACGCCTCCTCCTGGCGGTTATACGGGCCTATCCTGAGGYCGTCAGTATTCAGGACCACAACATAGGGCTAACCCCTTTGATACAGCATGCGATTGATACCGGGGATCACGTCCCGATACATTGCCGACCATACCGATATTCCCTTAAAGAAAGACAACTGACTTTGGAAAGGGTACGGGAATTCGAGCGGTTGGGGTGGGTCGAGCCATCGCTGGGACCGTGGTCTTTTCCCGTGGTCCTCGTGCCAAAACGAAATGGTTCGGTCCGGGTATGTATCGACTACCGGAAATTGAACGCCATTACTACCAAACATGTGTATCCCTTGCCGCAAATCGATGATTTGTTAGATGCTATCGGGGCCGCTCGAGACTTTTCCAAGTTCGATATCGAACACGGTTTTCACCACGTCGCAGTCCGACCGGAGGACCGACCCAAAACCGCTTTTGTCCTATTTGAGGGCACGTGGCAATAGGTCCGGTGTCCCATGGGAATTTGTAACGCCCCTGCAACGTTTCAGCGGGCCATGAATATGGCCTTCGCTGAGTTCGTTAACAAAACCCGACTAACCCAACCCCTAATCAATTTCTGCGTGATCGTGTACATGGATGATATTTTGGTCTTTTCAAAAACACACGAGTACCACGTGGAGCACATTGAGTGGGTTTTGCATGCACTAAAGGATGCGGGGTTCAAAGTGGCCTTGGAGAAAAGCGAGTTCTTCTTGTCGGAGATCTCATTCTTGGGGTACATCATCACGGTCGATGGACTAAAACCGGATCCGAGGAAGGTGGCAGCAGTTCAAGAAGCCCCGGCGCCGGTTACACTCACCCAGGTTTGGGCTTTTCTAGGGTTGGCATCCTATTATCGACGCTTCATCAAGGGGTTCGTCGGTATAGCGAAGCCCCTCACGAACCTGCTGAAGAAAGAGGAACAGCTGATCTGGAAGTCGGAATGCGAAGTGGCATTTCACGCGTTGAAGGAGGATCTGACATCTGCTCCTGTGTTGGCGCGCCCAGACCCAACGAGACCGTTCGCACTGTACACCGACTGGCAGCCTCAGGCGATATCGGCGGTGCTGACTCAGCACAGGAAGGACGGAAGGGAGGACGTCATTGAGTACGCGTCCAAGAAGCTGAGCCAGGCACAGGCTTATTACGAAGCGTGCAAAGGTGAATGCCTGGCGGTGGTGTGGGGGATCCAACATTTCCGACCGTATTTTTATGGCCAAAAAATTGTGCTGGTAACGGATCATCAGCCGCTGTTGTCCCTACGCAACAACACGGACTACACGGGGACGCTGGGCAGGTGGGCGGTGCATCTGCAAGACTATGACTTCTACATCCGCCACCGTGCCACGCGGCAGCATGGTAACGCCGATGGATTAGCGCGCCTTCTGCCGCCCAACAAGTGTCCCACCAACGAGCAACTCATTCCGTGGAGGCCAGAAGTCGTGGCGATGAAACCGCACTACGGGGAGCTACACGTGTTGTGTAAGGACGACGCCTGAGTCCGGAATGGAGGTTTCATCGGAGATGGCCGACACTATCTCTCTGCCCTCATCCAACTCCCTCGCTCTCTCGTCTAGCCCCAACTCGTCCTCTGAAACACATCTAAGTCCCTATTTCTTCTGTACCTTGCCTATGATCCCGGACCAAGAAGGGTCACATCCGGGAGGGCCCATTTTTCTTTTATGGGTACAGTGTAGTCAGTGTCATACGGTCAAATCTCACGGACAGTGCGTTAGGTACCGAAGTGAAAAGACGTGGGTCTGTCCCAACTGTAGAACGGACCAAGTCCCTACCGAGAAGCGGTATCTGGACGCTAGAACAACCGACGGATTTGTGCCAAGTGCCCGCCGGGCAGAAGCCTGGACGGACCTCCTGTTGCTACGGAGACTGTCAGGTGACTCGCTATCAGAACTTACCAAAGCCGAACGGCGGAGAGTCACGGAGCGGGCGCAGGACTATCGCTGCCAGGGCCCGACGTTACAAAAACGGAAGGTCGAGGACGACGGAGAGTCTAGCTGGTTGACGGTTCCACACCCTCTTGCTAGGTTCGATTGGACACGAGCCGCTCATGAGGAGGATGCGGTCCATTTCGCGGTCAAGTACACGGAAAAAGCCATCGAAAAGAACGGATGGTACTGGTCGGGAATTCGGGAGGATGTGAAATACATCGTTCAGAATTGCCCGGCCTGCACGGCGGACAAGGCGCCGGTACAGATGCCTCGGACGATGGTGCCCACTCATGTAAAGCGCCCCTTTCAGAGGGTTAGCATCGATACGACGGATATCAACGTTCCGAGAGGGCCCGTCGATCAAGGAGAACTCAGTGTTCTTTTAGTGGCCGTCGATCATTTTTCAAAATGGATTGAGGCGTACCCTATGACCAGCCGGAATTCGCAGGAAGTAGCCTGGTACGTAAATCGATTTTTGTGCATGCATCTAGACGTAGAAGAGGTACACATGGACAATGGGTCGGAATTTCAAGGCGAAGTAGAATGTCACCTAGTCACGGCGGACGTTAAGATTATCTACTCGCCGGGGCATTGGCCTCAAGCCAACGGCCTGGTAGAGAATGCCAACCGACTGATTAAGACGGCCCTTAGACGGAATATCACTGCGGGAGACACCCGACCCTGGCCGGTCATTGTCGACCACATTTTAGTCGTTTATCGGGCTACCCCACACGGTAGTACTGGGGTGTCCCCCTTTCAACTGAGAACCAATAGTGTCCCTTGGGTGCAATTGTCCCCCTTAGTAGGTACGAAAGTTAGAGCAACACGGGCCCTGAATCGAGACAAGGCCCGCCACTACATGGACTTAATGGCTAGGGCCTATCCCCCGTTAGCTCGCTGTCGACAGCAGGTCGTAGATCGGACACATCAACAGCAGATCCGTGACTACGAGAATCGACACGCGTCCGCGAGACCACTGCCCCGCTATAAAGTTGGGGACTTGGTGCAGGTACAAAAATCTGCGTGCTCCTCCAAGATCCACCCGCGCTATACAGGCATTTACGAGGTCACGGAAGTTGGCACACAGGGACAACACTCCGTGAAGCTGATTCCCCGTCACAACTCCCAGGCCCGACCGCTGATACGGCACGCGGCCGCGCTCCGGCCTTTCCAGCCATCGCTAGGTCCCCTACGGACACCCGCTCCTACGAGATCACCCTCTCCTTCTTCATCCTCCTCCTCCTCCTTTTCCCAATCTGCCTCGTCCATTGGTGCTGAGAGTTTCAGGGAGCAGGATGAACCATCGCCAACCGGAGCATGAGCCCCTCGAGCATTTTCAGACGCCGCTTGCAGATCGCATGTTGCGGCATCGGTTCAATGAGGAGAGGCAGTTGCGGTACGACATTCAGCAGGTGAACGTGCTGGCACCCGTGGTTGCGGATTTGGCGGCGTACTCGTTGCTTTGCGATCGGTTAACGTATGCGGGGGTGTACGTGGACATGACGCAGTTGCCTGGACGGGAGACGACCCGAGTATTCATTGAGTTCCCGCGCTCCAGGTGGCACCCAATTTCGTGCACAGCGTCGCCACCTTCATCGAAGACTTGACGATCCTACCGCAGCTGAATCGGGAGCCGGCGTGCAGCTTTGTGCGCGAATACGCGGTGGAAGCGGCCAGATCAGTGGCCAGATTGCAAGGATGGGGGGGACGCCGATTCACAGCCCACGAGGTGCTGCTGCGTAGGGCAGAGGACGAACCGATTGCGTTGGTGCCGCAGCTCCCCGCGCTTCTCCCTCCCGCTGCTCCTCTCAACTTCCAAGCTATTCCCCCTGTCCCGTACTAAATGCCTCCCTTCTTCTCCTACACCACCCTCCCCTACCAGCTCACGGAGGGCCCTTATCCCATGCGCGAGTTCTCGCAGTATTTAGTGGAGCTAACTGACGTGGAGCCGCTGCCTTTCGCCGACGAAGACACGTGGGAGTTGCACCGGGCGCTGTACAAGTCAGTGACGTTGGGGATGTTCCGGTTCTTCGTGGAACACGAAGACCACTGCATCGGGGAGCACTTCGTCGTCTACTACGTCATCACGCGGCCCAAGCCAGCGGAGAAGGAAGGGACGGTCGCGCTGTACCCATTCGCCCAGCTCCAGACGATCGATCCGGGATTGTTGGAGCTCATACACCTTGAGATCCTCTCCATTGCGCAGGTGATCGCGAGCGAGGAGGAGGAGATCCAACCGCGATTGCGGATGGCGACGGCCCCACGAAGAACGTACAACGCGGTCGTCATCCCGGATTACATTGCGCAGCGCGCGGAGAGATTGGAGGACTTCCCGGAGGAAAGGCCATTGCGGCCTCCCTCGTCGTATCCCCGACCGGCGCCACCGAAGGCCCCCAAGAAGACGCCGAAGAGGAAGAGACGCCACCCATCGCCAGGGGCGCAAGGCAGCAGGATCGGCGATGGCAAGGAGGTGATTCAGTCCGCACGTCCGCGGAATCCGGACCCTGTGCTTGGGAGTGCGGCGACGCTTGTTAAGGAGGCTGTCGTGCCATCACCGCCCGTTCCGCGTATGCCCGATCTCAACCTTGATGGAGCCGGGCCATCATCATCAGCAGCAGCCGGAGGAGGAAGCCGAATAGGATTACCGGATCCCATATCCAGACCCCCCGTCCTCGCTGGACCTCTCTGTTCCCGCCAGCCACCCCGGGGTGCCCCGGTCATTGACATTAGTAGTTCATCCGAGCCGGACGGTCCATCCGACCGAGGTGGACTTCATGGTGGAGCCCGCCACCATCAGGCTCGAGGCCATCGCGGGGGCGCCGCGCCCTGATCCGGCGTGGGAGCCATATCTGACACCCCCTTTTCAAGGGTGTATTGCGGCGCGATTGGCTGGGACGCTCATCTACGAGGCCGGGCAGCGTCCCAATGCGATGTACCACTTCCTGGTCTTCGCGGCGCTGAAGCGGGAGCGGCGGCCTTACACCGAGACTCATGTGGTGATGACGGGCCCGGGGCCCCGATCGGTGCGCAAGCGGGTGGTGCGAGCAGTGGAGGATCTGGCGCCACGTGTCCTATCCCATGTGCCGGGAGCCTTCCTCTACCCCTCGTTCGTCCAGCATCACTTCCATGAGGAGGGAGCGCCGACGACTCCCGCGGCAATGGCCTCTTTTCTTCCACCTATTCCGCCCCCTCTCAATCCCGACATAGATCACTTCCTCTGATCACCCTCGTCTACCTCTCCCCTGTTCTCTCCTTCTCCTTCTCTTCATCTTCTTCTTCTTCTCCTACCTCCAAAGTTCGCGCGTCGAGACGCTCTGTATATATATAATAAAATAAAAATAATAAATAATAAATAAAAAATAATAAATAAAAAATAAATTTACTGATCGGGCCAGCTGACGATGAAGGGGCCGCCCGATCGGATGTATACTATGGGAGGAGGCGATGGAGGATGCAGGATGCATCCACGTAGATTAGGAAGATGATCGGGCCAACTGACGATGAAGAGGCCGCCCGATCATCCAAGATATGATGACATCAGCAGTCGGGAGACTGCTAATTTTTCGGAACCCCCTGCGTATCACAGATGTGATGAGCTCAAATCCGTACCGCGCGGCTTGCCGTATCCCTGAGGAAAAATCCCGTGGAAGTCCCGAAGTACGGACGTGGATAGAAGGGGGGGTTCTTTCTTTTTGCTTTTGTTTTCTTTTTGAAATGGCTTTTTCATTTTGTTTGGTTAATAACTTCCGCGGGCGAATAGCAGCCGCGGCATGAAAACCAAGAAACGGGTGCGGTTGGGACTTTTGAATTTTTGTGCGCGCGCGCCCAAGCTCCGATTTCTTCGCGCGTCTCGCATCCCCGTTTCTTGCTTTGCATCCTCGCACCATCTTCCCTCCTTGCTGCGCGCATTTTCCCCATGCCGGACTCTTCGTCTTCCCCTCCGCCCAGCTCGATCCTTACCCCGCGAAGTGATTGGCCTCGTAGTTGGGATGCTCGGATCAATGTGGAGAGCGGGAAACCGCGCGCCACTTGAATGGACACCCCAATCACGTAGGACCATGCCATCCCGCGGGTCGAACCCTCTAACTCCACACCTTCCTCCTGTCCTGCTCATCTACAACCTGCGCTGCCCGCACCTCGCGCTGACAACCCACCTCCTCCCGCGCTATAAATTTGCGCAACCCTCTCCTCTCTCTCTCTTTGATCTCGGCTGCAATGCTGCGCGAGCTATGCGCGAGAGTCCGCGGCGCCGAACAGGCTCGACGAGCCCAAGGACGGGCGGAGTGACGACGTGGGGTGGACCCGCGGTAGTCTTGGGGCGAAGCAGTCGGAGGGACTGAGCACTGGTGGGGATTGGACGCCGGCCGCGGCAGGGCCTTGTGGCTATGGTGGTCGGTGGTCTTGGGGAGTTTTGAAGGCTGCGCCTGGGGGCGGCAGTTAATTGAATTTTATTTGTGTACAAGAAGAACTCGCCTTTATCTCCATTGCTTCTTTGTCTATGCATGTCGTGTGTGTGAAGCCCCGAGTGATGGGAGCTGGTGGTGCGCACGAGTGATGTCGAAGGTCCATGGATGATTAGACGTCCTGT